AGTGGGTTTCTTTCTAATTCAGTTCTGATCTATAAGCTTCTTCAAGCCATTATCAATTAGTCTGTGTGTTAGTGACACTTCGGGGATTACTGTCCAAATCCATGACTGTCTTCCAGAATTACTCTGCTATCCAGGTGTGTCTAGTTTATGTTGTCAAGGAAGTGATATTCAATACATGTGTGTGCAAGGCATGGAAAATATGAGATGCTGACTATATGATTGAAAATATAGTTTTCCCCCAAGTAGATAATGAATAATACAATATTTAGCCATTTTAAGTTGATAAGCAACAACTCATAAAATTAAAAGGCATACGTTTTCATCTTGCTTCTAATTTCCCATCCCTTCTGTTCCTCCTTATCCTGACCAGGGTGTGAATCTCTACAAAGTGATGGAAGCTGGTGACTTTATTTGCAAGGCTGTGAATAAAACTACAAACTCCAAAGTTGCACAAGCTTCTTTCAAACCTTGACTTGAAAATACTTACGACTTAAGATTGAGATGTTCCCTTTCAGCTACAGAGATTCATCTGAAAATCAATGCCAACTCATTCTGCAATGCAAAGTAATAGACAAGAGCAGAAAATGAAGACATTGTTATAAAGATTTTGCCTGGATAGACTATGAAGTCAATGGGAAACAGTATAGACATCAGGTAAATTGCAAGCTGAAGATAAATAATAAAACTTGTTGACATCTTTTTGAACTGAAAGAAGAAAGGCTACTCTTTGGTCTCCTAGAAATAACTCTTTGGTAGATGTAAAAACAGACATCAGATTCCCCTAGGTATCAAGTATGTGTCACTGTTTAGTTGAGCCAGCTTAGCACAGTGTGTGTGCTTTCAGTAGTTCATGAGCTCCTGCTCAGTGTGCCCAATGAGTGCATGGCCTCAGCACTTTGCCTTGGGACCCTGGGCTCTCAACTTCCATTGGCCAAGTCAGCTAAGTCATGGACCAAGAGCCAAATCTCTATCTGACCCTACACAACTTTTAGCAATGGAGCATTTATATTTCAAGTGTGGCTAACATCTGTTAACTATTTCAGTGACTTTATCTTGTTCCAAGAAGCTGTGGTCAATGGCAAGATGCCATATCCTGGATACGCAGTGTGACCTCCCACATTTGTTACATGCCTCCAATTTACCCTCCTTCACCTTTCATCAGTTACAGTTACAGTTACAGTGAAATCCAGCATGGTATTACTCCTCTACAGAGAAGTTAGAAGGCATGGTTTTTGACCCAATGTCTAAACTGTGCTGATGAGAACAGGTTGATATATGTACCATAATTTACTTCAATAGTTTAAGTTCACTTTCAAATTGCCCAAGAGAATATTGTTCGGCTCCTAGGAACTTCAAGACAATATTTAATTCATAACATAAGCTGTTTTACATTGATTTATGATACCATATTTTGATTACTTCAGATCATTTTGGTTGACTTTTTAATGATTGTGTTTTAAGATAAGTAGCAGAAATTTTGTCTGTTGCCCTAGAAAGCATTGGCAGAGACAGCAAGAAATTAATATATCAAAGATGGAGACGAGGTAAAAGGAGTCTGTGTCAGAAAAAATGTTTCTGTAGTAACTTATGCAAATTATACAGGGACTGTATTATTACACGTGGATCTAGAATGTGAGATGTATTATTTATATAGGCTTCTCCAATGCTACTGGGTGATCTTTGAGCAAATTTTAATATAAATTCAAATATGATAGTGAGTATTGTGAACTACATAGGAAATAGTCTTCAAAACCATCAAAATAAAAAAAGAAATTCAAACACTAAGAGAAGTACTGATTACAGATAAGTTTCCTTTTTATTAGTACGTATTTGGGGTACATAATGATTACACCTTTGTGGGGAGTTGGTACACGTACAAAACACATCTTGATTCCTTTCTTCGTTCAACTATCTTTAAAGATACACTGTAATGTAAAGTCACAAGGGAAGTGTACTGTTGACAGATGGAACCAAATCTGAATTCCTGTGGAGGAAGCTACCTTAGCAGTCTGTGACATGGTTTTGGAGGAGGGGCTCAATGGCATGGTGATCTTCTAGAGTCTTCCAGAGTCCTACTTGTACTTTGGGGTCTCTTTCTCTTCCTCTAGATAACTTCAAAAGAATTTATTTTCTAGTTGAGGGGCCATTCGGATAATCTCATAAAGCAGTCTAATGTCTATAGGTCCCATCTCCTATCGCAGTTATATTTCACCAATAAAGAGGTCTTGGAATACACATACTGATACCAGGCTTGGTTCTGTGGGGAGAGCTTAAGAATGACAGAGTAATTACAACTTTCACTGCAATGCAAATCACAATAATATTTTACAAAATCAAAAGATATTCTGTGCTCTAGAACCTGTAACATATTTTATCATGCGTATGTGTCAATGATTTATTAGGGGCAAATATCATAAGACTAAATTCATTAAACCATAGAAGTTTTCTTAATCCTGAATTCATGAAATCGACAAAGCAAATAAATTGAATCTGCCCATAAATTTCAAGGGAGATGCAGAATTCTCCTTCTACATTATTTCTTTTTGTTTCTAAGAAATTTAATAAATTGCCTCTTATATCATCTTATATGCTTATTGGTTTTATATATGTGTATGCTGTATCTCCTAAATGATTAACTCCAATTTGAGTCATAGAACTATTTAGCATACAGTAAATAAGCCATAAATATAATCCCATCACAACTGTAAGAGGAAAAAAAAAAGAAACCTAAAGGCTAGGAACTAGCCAGAAATTTGAATGGAACTAATAGGCAGAAGAGGGTTATTACAACTAACAGTGAACATTTCACTTCATGGACTGGAATACTTGAGTTTCATGTTTTAAAGAATAGTTTTTAAATAGTTTTAGAGATTTAGGGATAGGGAGGAAAGGGTTGGGCTGTGAGCAAGGTTAGGAGCAGGCAGGCATGGAAGGAGGGAAAGAAGATAGAGGGAAGGGGACAAAGAAACAGAAAATAGAGAGTGCAATTTGAATCCTTAAAAGCTCTAACAGAAGGACACATTTCAATTTGGTCACTTTCAACTACAAATAACAGAAGCCTCTCAAGACTTAAGCAATGATAAAAATTCTCATATAAGACAAATACTTGGAAATCTTGAATTTTCACTGCTGTTTCAGTGATGCAATCTCATCATAAGTAAACAGATTCTCCCCATTTTCCTGGTTTTCTAGTCTCAAGACAGATATTCCCTTCAGGCTCTGGCCTCCCTAGGTACAGGACACGTGACCCCCCAGCGTGTGACACTCACATTCCACACTTTGCTGGGCAGCCTCGGAGGCTTTTTTCTTCTCCAGTATCTTTTTTTCAGCTTTAATTGAGTTTATTGGTACATTTTAGGGATACAGTACAGTTACATTCATTGTTGGGATCTTGTACCTCTACATGACAAGTGTTGCTTCTCATTTTTTCCCCTTGTCCCTGGCCTCCCTTCACCCCCTCCTCCTCTCCCCATCTACAAACACTTTATTTCCACCTTTTCATTATCTCACATTTTTCTCTTTTCCCTTATTACCCTTTCCAGTATTTTTTTTTTACAATCAGTGAGGAGCATTTCTAACAGCATGCTGAACTTCTTCTCCTAGTTCGTTGGGCAGATTATCATTACGAGCCCTTTCCATAAACTCTCACTCCCACTGTACTAGACCAGTAATGTAGACCCCAAAAGGACCACTGGTGATCTGGAAAGGACCCTGGGAGAGCCCGCTGGAACAACCTTCTATGGTGAGACAGAGTGGAGTGGAAAGCAGGTCAGTAAATTCCTTGAGCAGTTGTTGGGTCCAACTAGTGCTAGACAACAGGAAATACCTTTTCATTTGAAAGTATTTGCTTGTTTATTTTCTTTCCCCAACAGGATACAGACTTTCTACCTTCCTTACTTGCATTTATTATGTATATTTTTATCTATATCCTACCACTGCGGGGCTGTGTAATTTTATTTGCATTTTATCGGTGCATATTAGTTATATCTTATAGTGGGTTTTGTTTTTGGACTTTTGTGTGTGCCGTGAGCATCCTCACTGACTCTATTCCCTTACCCACTCTTCCCCTTGATCCTCTCTACCTCTTTTCTAATAATCTCCCATTTACTTTCATGCCATTTCTTTTTCTTCCTATTTTTGTATAATGTCACATATGGGAGAAAACAGACAATATTTGGCTTCCTGAGTCTGGCTTATTTCGTTTAACATGATGGTCTCTACATTTATCCATTTTCCTGAAAATGACATGGTGTTGTTCTTTATAGCTAAATAATATTCTATTGTGTACATAAACCACATTTTTTTTATATATCCTTCTGTTGTCCAGCACCTAGGTCATTTCCATGGCATGGCCACTGTGAATTGTGCCACTGTAAACATGGGTATGAATATATCATAATATACTGACTTTATGACACTCTCGCAGTACCCAGAATATAGGGCACTGGCAACATGGTCTATTTTTCCCTAGGGGCTTCATTCAGATGCACTGGGTCATCTGAGAGTCATTTGCTAAACTCCAGGATGTGGACGTATGTATTCTCCAGTGACCGTAGAAAGTAATAGGATACCATTGTATTAGACTGCAAATAAAATTCACTGTAAATGCAAATTATCAGGCCTCAAACCAGATTCACTAAATCAGAAATTCTGGGTTGGAGCCCAGAAATCTGTGTTTTACAGATCCTGCAGGTTATTCTGAGGGACCCCAGTGTTTAAGAACCATGGCCCTGGGTGAATTGTCTTCCAAAGTAATGATTTACCACTGTTTCAGTGAGCTCAGGAGGAAAACAGACAAGACTGAGTTATTGCATGTCCTAACTCCACATAACACACCATCATTTTAAGTAACATTACCATATCACCCCACATTTCCCATGTGAATAAGGCTTACAAGAAAGAGGCAGAATATGCAAAACAAATGGCCATATTCTCCTCCTTAGTTGGCTTGCCAACTTTCTAAATTGTAAGAATCCTATGTACAGGCTTATCATCAGGTGTTTTCCAGGAAACTTGCATCTGAGACTAATTCTACCAAGTTTCTGTACACAGTATTCATCAAGCTCATTGTAAGTGTAAAAGTAAATTAAAGTGAGTACTAATGGTATCCATGAAGGAAGACAAAAAGTAATATGTCAGTCCAGGGAAAGGGACACTGCCACCAATTTTGTCCCAGTGAGAGAGGAAGTTTAAAGAATTTGCTACATGTCCTTCAGTTTTGGGTTTCTTTAGTACAATCCCATTGTACACTCTGGAGGTAGGCAGCCTGGGGTGGAGTCCTGGGTCTGCTATTCAACTGATGTGCAACCTTGTTCAATTTCCCTAATGCCTTTGAAGCTCGCCAGTAAAACTAAAATAACAACAGTCCTTATTTATACAGCTGTTGGAGAGATTTCATGAAATCATACTTACGTGTTTGGCAAAGTGCCTGATGTTTTGTAAGTGATCAATAAATGTTAAATATCATCATTTTTATTATCCTTTCCTATGGCCCCATTCTGAAGTCCAACTTCTCTTTCCATTATGAGTTGTTAATCCCCAGAGAGGCTCTCGTAAAAGATCACCCTTCTTCTCTATCCATGTAATGGGTTTGTTTTCTTGAAGGGCCTCCCATGACTCCAAAGAGAGCCAACTTATCATAGTTGAACTCAAAGCTAAATCGCCATGCTTTTAAATCGGCACACTTTCCTTGCTGTCTGCCACCAGGGAGCTCTCCACATTCTGAGCTAATATTTTTATGCATTTTGTGAGTGCTGTTTGCCTTAGGAACCTATTGGGAGACTTTTGTTGGGTAAAGTCAAGCACAGACCATCATGGCAGACTCACATCCTGTATCAAGTAAGGTCACAAGGTTCATGAACACTGGGAATTTGTCTCTTGCTCTTGGTAGTTGGACAAGTGAACGGGTGGATGTTGCTATCTGCTGCCACATGAATCAGTGGTTTTTATTTGATCAGCTGTCTAGTTGGGCACATGTCTGCTTTCTCCTCATGGTACTTGATGATCCCTTTATAAAGTCAAAGTCCCGTGCATGCTTAGTGGAAGAGCACTATTCTTCCCTTCCATTCTCCTCTGACCTGACACATAGCATCAAGCTTCTTTTGCTTATGAAAGGGCTTATGCCATTCTAGGAATTTGGAGAAAGTATCTCAGAACTTTTGATGACTGTTTCATCTGAATTTCCTTCTTCTCACTAGCTCTTTCAGGCCTCTGACACATTTCAGGCCCCAGATTTCTGCTAAGCAGACCATTGTTCTGTGTAGAATGAATCCTGACCTGTAACTCTCCGTGAGAAGGCTTTCCCAGTGGGCTGTACATATGAATGCCAGGATGTTAGCTTGTGGTCGTCAGTGTATAGGTGCCAATATTAGACGTGCTGGCCACATCCCCCAGACCCCTGGATGAAAACTTTGCCTGCTCTTCCCTTGAACTTGCTCCAGCAAAACTGAGTCAGCTTACAAATTCACATTGTGCACAAGTGGACGGACACTCCAAAAGTAAAGCAATGGGATAGGAGTGACTTGCTTTTGTATAGCAGCCTTTACACTCAGTCATTAGTACAATGGCATAAAGAAAGATATGTCTATAAAGGGTACTTTAAACAGAGGACAGTGCATCCTAGTTTTTAAGTGACTCTGAAAGTCTTGCAGATCAGAGGAGGTGGAGTTAGAATTATGCTCAATAAAGAGAATGAGAAAGAGAACTACTTGCGGATGGATACTTGCAACATGAGTGGATAGATCGATGCTGCTTTTCTGTTAGAGACTGATGCCCATGTGTAAAGGATGGAGTCTCCCACAGGTACTGCAGCCTCTTAGCCTTGCCTACTTCCTGGATATTTTCTTTTACGACTGTCTTAGCTGGAAACTGTTACCTAGGCCCACTGGCCTCTGTAAGACAGTGCCATTGTCACTGTGTGGGTTTGGTACTGGGGATCTACCTCAGGACCTTGCACTTGCAAAGCAGGCGGCAGCACCACTGAGCTACATCCCCGGCCCTCACTGTGTGTGTTTTAGTGTGTGAGGTAAAGCTGTCCCTTGGAAGGACATGTCCCTGGAGAATCACTTATGCATGTCAGTGTCCTTATGTTTTAGAAATGGAATTTCATTTAGTCTCTTCTGTATAAGACACTACATTATATTATTTTACTCTACTATTTTTATATTATGCTGATATTCTCAGCAAAGAGCAATGACCATATCTTTTTTTACGTTTTGATAGTTTTGTTAATATAACCCATTTTTAGCCACAGTATCCATTAGATTTTTGTCTAAATGACATTCAGTTGTTTCTAAAAATCAAATGCAGCTAAAACAACCAAAATTTTCTGCTTTCTAAATAATTCAAAAGAATGTATCAAATGTCTCTAAGACAATTTCAGTGAGTAATAAATAAAATACATTTACTTGATTAGCAGAATATTTTAGTCATCTGGAGTTGCCCAGCAACTGTTTGGAAGTAAAATTCACTTCAAAAATTGTTTCAAAAATCACATTTTATC